CGTGACGAGCAACGCAGAACATCAACGTTTACGACATCGGCACCAGTTGCGAGAAAAACCAACGTTCTGCATTTGTCTGAATCGGAAAAGACGGTCTTCCGTTACCGGTGCGGTCGCTTCCTTGTCGTGCGCTCACAAGCTTCAACGAAAACCTACCTGTTCAATTTACTTCGGAAGCAATGGTAAGTGAGAAAACGTCAAACCCGTTTCTCATACGTGATGAGATGATAGTAGCATAGATACATTGTTAATAAATTATCGAAAACGCAGATTGCCCATATTGCTGATTTACATAAGAAACATTCGTACAATGTGTCAATACTTTGCTTTTCAGTTTAGACGTACTCGGTTTGAATTTTAACAAGACCTTTAAAATTATTTTCTTATTGATTAATTCCCTGGAGGAAGGAACTCGCTGCCTCACGACGCATCGCTGCAACGAGTCGAAAGTCGGGCAGCAATTCGCGAATCTAAAAAAACAGCACTAAATTTTGATGCATGACCTTTACAGGGTTGTCATTTGCCTAGATCTACCTGCTAACTGACTTAACATCATCAAGTGGTATAAAACATAACTTAAAGAAATCAAACATGCAGCAGCGCTCTGAACCACGCGATCTACAACATCACTGTAGATTAGTAATGCCAAACGTTACCAATCTGCTGAACCACCTTCCTCTGGTCATCTTGAGCCAAAGCTTTAAGAAACAAAGAATGCCAAAGTTTCACGGCCGATCCGCCTGCAAGATTAGCAACAAATACAAAGGACCCCATTAGAGTAAAAAAATATGTGCGTTCATATGACAAGAAAAGAACCGAACTCATGGGACAGTAAACGAACTAGTTCACTATCATAACAGTTAAAAAAAGAAGACGGAGACTCGTGACGAGAAATTTAATACCGCGATAAGTAATAAAAACGGAGAAAGTTTCATAACATATTAGATTCGATTAATGTTTGATTTTCACCGTGTTTTTGTTCCTGCTGTCTTGTCTTAACTAGAAATCCGTATGACTTATCAGACTTTATGCACATTAAAAACGAGAGGATACAACAGATCTATGTTCCTAAAAGACATTATCAGACTGACTGTAAAAGACATAGCCTTTTTAAGAAGTCTTCTAGAAAAGTGAGGCTCATAAGGCGTCAAACGATGCCATCTACAATGAATGCATCATCGCCTCATTCAATAAACAGAATGAATCTAAGGACACCAGTAATAATCAAATTTACTACCAATACGGATTTCGATCAGTGACCCGCTGCAAGAACACCATTTCATTTAAAATGGCGAAGAAGAGACAGACTTCCATACTCTAATAATTTGTTCACTTGTCATTTCTACCATATGAATTATACAGCGAAGTAATACTGCCGCCACCAATAAGGGCCCTGGTTCAAATATGCGAATACTCCTAATGTAACAGCTCAAGCACGATGATGGATTAAAAAACGAATAGAACGCTTCTCAGAAAGAGCTAGCTGCAAAGACAAGCAGAGGATGTGAATAACTATGTATGAAATGGTCTATTTATATGCAGTGGTACATCAGGTGATAAACTGATGCTTCGACTAATCGGTTCAAAACGAATCAGCTATTACAGACGAAATCCACTATCAGCCGCCAAAGCATCGGTATTAGCTGACAGACACCGTACATTGCGTTGTGCATAATTAAATCGTTTTGTGCCTTCTTCAATACGACTACGAACAAAATAATCTGTTTTAGAACGAACTGCTTGTATTTGTGTCTTCAATTTCCTTTTCATCATGTTCTTGTTCACAAACAGTGACACTGGTGAGGTGAAGAGGTTTGAAAGTTGTTCCTATGATCTTCCGTACATCGTTACTGAAGGCTCTGCTGTTCTGCTAATGCTACCTCTTACGAATTAGTTTGAGATTATGCCATGATTTAAATGATCCCAGAGACTGTAAAGGTAGAAAAAGGTCAATCGCAATATGAAACTGCCCAATTCAATTAAATCTGCCACAGACTGATATTGGCTGGTCACGTCTGCATCATCTGTATTACAGAAACGGTCTCTGAATAAAAAGAATACAGAGAAGAGTTTTTCTCAATGGATTCGCTAAGTATTTATGTCAGTGTTGTATTTTTCCACACTTTAATTTCTGAAGGCAATATCGAAACCAAAAATTGGACGAAATTCTTCCGTCAACATTTACCTGTCATCCAGTCCGCATGGCGTTTACTCAGCCTCGACTCAAACTGCCCCAATTCTCTCAAGTATATTATGTGGCAGATCTGCGGTTTCTGGTTCTGTTCCATGTCCGTGTTATACAGAAATCCAACCTGAAGGTTGACTTCATGATGAACTGGCAACACGTGAGCGTATTCACCGTGAAGAACATCAGTCATAAACCCAGAAACGATAATTACACGAGCCAGCCAGATCCCTTTACCGGCTGTTTGCAACTTGGCACAGTTGTTTATAAAATTTGCTTGGAACTCCAGAGATGCGAGGTTGGATTCCACCCAAGGGCAATCTTTGCTTTATTGACGAATTCCCTTAAGCAAAGATATTACCACACATTACTTCAGATCAAGTTTGCTCAGTCAGTAGGGCGTCGAACTCAAACCCGAGAGGTCCTGAATTCGAGTCTCTGTCACGGTTACTCGCTTCTCTTCCTTCTGAGGTTCATAAATGAGTACCACTCTGCGTGAAGGAAACAAGCGATTACAAGCTACGCTTGTCAAATTGCTGTACTGTATACTCTGCCTTAAAAAAATACTCCTGGACGATGGCACAGAAACAGAGATCAGCAATGTGCCATCAATTTCTTGAAAAGACGGGCATCAATAGGAACTAAACATGAAAATGACTGAAGATCGGCATCTAAACGTTAACCAACTTTCCTTTCCTTTCCTTTCCAAGAGGATAAGAGCAAATTTTTCAGAGATGCCGTGGCAATATACCTAGAGGGAAGCACTGGGGACTATCGTCTATATGTTTCTTCTTCATTCTCATGCGCATCGATGAACAGCCGGCATCTTAAAATTCATGATATCCGCTCAGTTCAACGCCTTGGACATATTTATCATGTAGACGAAGGAAAGATTTATCGAGAACAGGACTCAATTTAGTTTCTTTAGTCATACTGACGCTCTTCGAAAGATTTATTTCACAGACATGAGGATATCTGCAATTCCGTTACTACTGCATATCTCGTTAGCCGAGCCGACGTCTCAGTCTGAAAATGGGTTTACGGAGAAAACATAAAAATAGAATCCGTAGTAGCAACTAATCTCTTTCCGTCTATCAATGCCCAGGACGAAATGTGCGCAAACGTGGACGTGTCTAGAAACCGGAAACGCAAATAATACTCGCTGTCGGCTGAACGAAGCTCAATCGGCTTCGAATAGATTTACAGAAAATTGATGCAACTTTCATTTGAATTAAATCAGGAACGGTCATTTCTGATCACCTCTAAACTAGAAAAGCCTCAAAAGAATATTTCGACTAATTTCATATTACCAGATGGTCTTGAATGATCACTTCTGACGTAAATGACAACCGAGACCGCGCAAATCTTTCGAAGATCTATTTATTAATTCATTTTCGAAGCCAGCTATTCCGTTCAAATCGAGGAGCAGCTGCTTTAGTATGCCTCCAATCTGCGAACCAAGTAAGCAGTGGTCTGATATCCAAGGCAAAACGATATCCTTTTAATATAATGGAACCACCTGGTCCACGTTCTGGCGTTACGTCGTCTGCTCTATAGTTGTGCAAATACATTACGCCCGAGAAGTCTCTTTCGCCGAATCCTTGCCAAATGTTCAAACTATCGTATTCTTGGTTTCTCGACGTGAAGAAAGAGCAGGTAAGGGATGCCTTGTCCAACTGCTGTGTTTACTACCATCAGTTGCCCGAAAACCAACCAGGGTCAGTGCCAACGCTTGTAAATATCTATTCGATAGGTGTCATTCAACTGCATCACAGTCTATGTCAACTCCTATATTTACTTTAGTCGTTCGATCTTGTGAATGAGACCAAGTATCAACTAATATACCTTAATCCGCCGAAAAGCTGTCGTTGCATTATGAGCTTTATCTATAGATCTGTACCTCTAGAAATAGTTCAACGTGAGTGCGAAGACACACAGCTTATAAACATAAATAAAAAATATAAAAACAGCAGACTCGCGCTTGACTGACAGAAAATATATTAAAACAATGAATTACTAAATGTACTGTTTTAAAAGTTATGCTAGTCTTAAAGCTCTGAGCGCTGTCCCACTGAGGTGAGATTCGTCACACATGCTTAAACTTTGAGGCGAAGGTCTAAAGATCTACAGCGTAGTTATTCACCGAGAGCTCATATCAGAATACACGACAATCCGGTTCACTGGATGAAGCTTACTCTGCATTAAGTAATACATCCTGGCGTTGGAGAGAGCCCCTGTTTCATCATGTAGAAGAAATAAAAGATTTCCATGCTTGCCTTTCCAGCGCGAAGATCTCGAAGAAGTATAAAAGCATATTTAAAATGCAGTAGTCATGTACTTGGCTAAGATGCGTAGGAGACAGCTGGCTGGCAAATGTGAATAACTCTTTCGTACGTCCAAATAGATAAGTAAAAACATGAGTTGAAGCGCAATTTAAAACTAACAGGCATAAAGCAAATAGCGGAAAAAGATGGCGTGTTGCCAATAATAACAGAGAGTTTACACGATCTGCGGATTAAGATTTCGAACAAGCAGCGATCAGATGAATGAAGGAGAATTGCAGCTGTAAGATGCACTCGTATCAGACAGCATAAACGTATGTCGCCTACTCTAGTTTTCAGTATGACCACACAGAACATCATGCTGTGCGAGTTGTTCGCAACCAGTGACCTGTTATCCGTTTATCGACCAGCTGCACCGAAGCAATATGGGAAGCATTCTTTACTCAAAGGAATGTGAGATCAGGAACAGATTCTGCCACAGGCTTTGATTTTTTGGGATTCGAAGCTGGCTGCTTGGTCACTGTACCACTGCGACCACAATGCACTGAACATTCGTCAAAAGGGCAGGAAGGAAAATTGAAGTTAATCTGTAGCTATATGTATGCCAGAATCCATCAACTGTATACTTCCATTATGAAAGTCATTTAAGGCACCGTTATTTCACAGAAGTACGCTACGACGCTGATCTCCGTTTCCATACAACCAGCTAGACGTGTCTTATTTATGAAGACCATATGTACATCTTTGTGGCCACTACAGTGAATATCTCCCGCATCTTGTCAAGAAGTGATACCCATTTCTTCAAATGGAAACGACGAAACGGAAATAATTCGATATACATCGAACCTTACACATTTCTCTTGTGGTTGGGACATTCCACAATTTAACTACCTTAACTTTAAAGCGTTTTAAAAGTCGATTTTAAATTCGCACTCCAATTTATTTAGGATATTCTAGCACTAAGGTGTAAAAACATCGGAAAGATCACTGCTTGTGAGGTAATGCTTCGTGGAAGAAGTCATTTAACATCATCTGTTATACCTTTCACAAAATCAAGGAAGCGTGATGATGGCCTACGCTTACTTTTTTGGTCCTACATTAACAACTCCTCTAACGGCAGCTCTGATAAGTAAGAGAAAGACTTTAAACAGATTGCAGTAAACATCAATCACAGATAATGTTACATTAAAGTCTGGTTAATTTGAAATCTATAAACAAATCGATTTATACGCCTTGAGGAAGAAATACGAATGTCCCCAGAAAGGAAGGCTTACCAACAGTTTCTTGC